CGGGACGTCGCTAATCACCCTCATGGCCACCACCACCACTACCACTACTACCGCCGCCACCACCACCACTACTACCACCACCACCACCACCACCGGCCACCCACCACCACCCACCACCACTGCCACCATTACCACCACCGCAACCACCACCACCGCCATCACCGCCACTATCGCCACCACCGCCATCACCACTGCCACTATCACCACCACCCCCATCACCACCACCTCCATCACCACCACCTCCATCACCACCACCTCCATCACCACCACCCTCCATCACCACCACCTCCATCACCACCACCGCCATCACCACCACCGCCGTCACCACCACCACCACCACCACCGCCAGTGTTACCTCGAACGAGCGGCAGAGACGAGCGAACTCCCAGCGTCTCCAGCACGGCACCACACCACCATCACCACCGCCGCCATCACCACGGCCATCACCACCATCACCACGGCCATCACCACCATCACCGCTACCATCACCACGACCACCACGGCCTGTGAAAACATCACGATTCTCATTAATAATTGATTATTCGGAGAGAATTGCTCTCAAACTCACCAGGTGAGAATTTCTTGTGAACTCACCGGGTGATAAAACCTCTCTAACTCACAGCAGGTGACTTGAGAATCACTCTCAATCTCGCCTGGTGTGTGATAATCACTCCCTGACTCGCCACCGGGTGAGTTGAACCGACACGATCACAAGCGGCGCGACGTTAAACGCCTGCGCACCACGTGACGTTTTGATTTGTTTGGCCGCGCCGGGTGGTGGAGGGCCTTAGAAGACAATCACGGCCAGATCGGTACATGGCCTAACGCAATAATTAATCATGAACAATGATGTTGGCTGCCAACAACCTTAAAGGTAAAAAAATGGCCATCACCAGCAAGAGGAGGAGGTGGGAGGGGAAGGGGGTGAGGAGGAAGAGGGGGTGGAGGAAGAGGGGGAGGGGCGGTAGCCCCAAGTGACCCCGTGTGTGTCATGTTCCTGCCGGCGTCAGCAGCGTTTGTCCAGCAGTCAGTTCTACGCACACAGGTACAGACGCAGGTACAAAGACACAATCAGATACACACATACGCGGGTACACGACAATAACAACCGCCATTCGCCAACAAAGCCTTGCCTGCCAGAGGAGCTCACTGATGTGACCGTGTCCAGATCTTTCAAGGATTTGTGAGCTCCTCACACATTTCAGCCTGGTTGAACCCAGGATGGATCGTAGGCAGGCCAGCTTGAATGTTTCTAACCAGCGCAGAACCATCCCTCGACCGCACCTGGTCATCCATCAGCCTCCCATTGTATCTAGACCAGACGGAAATTCCTCCGGTACAGCCATGAAAGGCTTCCCGAACTATGTGGTCAACATTTGTTTAAATGATTTAGGAGTCAGAGGACATCCCTGTCACACCCCAAGGTGAACAGGGAATGGCTCTGAAGCCCGGCCACGTAGCTTTACCCTGCCTGGCCACCATCATGAAGGTCCTTAATGATTGTGAGCAGAGAGTCCGGGACTCCAAAGCACGAATAACAACTAAAAGCCCTGGCCTGCTGATGGTATAAATAGGCCTTGACCAGGTCAATAAAGCAGAGATGGAGGTCTGTTGGAATCAACTACACCTCTGCTGTAGCAGATGGACCGAAAATATGGCAACTGTGCAGGACCGCCCTGGTCTGAAACCACATTGGGGCTCCACAAGCCTCTCCTCGGCGTACCTGGCAAGGTAATCTATATATATAGAAGTCAAAATTGTTTGTGGGTTTGTGTGTGGTCACGCGCTTGGCTCTCCAACGGTGGGGTTGACGTAAAAAAAATAGCCAGGCACCACGCCGTAAGCCCCCCGGTCAGCAAGCGCTATTCCTTTTTCACACCCGTCAACTTAAAATTGGTTTACTTGTCGATTTAGTGCGATTTTTGTGCGCTTACATTTTATGTATTTATTTATGACGCCTGCGCGACCGTACCAACTCACGCGCCTTTGGTAGGGGGGGCGGCCCATGCCAAGTCGCACGCCTTCGGTGGTAGTGAGGGGGACATTTTCTTTCGTGTTAAAAATGCTATAAACGCTCATGTAAATTCTTCACTGTGTGATGTCCCCCCCCCACTCCAATGCGCGTAGTTATCACTACTATACAGTCGCTAGATGCTACCACTATAGGCCGTAGATATCACTGCAGAGCGGCCGGGGAGATCGTGACTGCGGGGGGGGGGGGGGGGGGGGTAGCAACCCAGCCCCAGCCTAACAAGGTGCCACCTCGGCCGGCTGTACAATCTAGGCGAGGCCGGAGGCTCTGCACGGGACTAGGCCTCACCACGCCACTCTGTCAGGTGAGTACGTTGTGCTATACAGTCGATAAATACTGATATAGAGGTCAGCATGTACTACTGTAGTGATAGCAGGTACCACCACAGTTGGTATACACTGCTGTAATCATAGCAGGTACCACCACAGTCAGTATGCACTGCTGCTTACATTTTTAAGAGTAGGTTTTGAAATATTTTTAAGACCCCGGCAATGCCGGGTACTTCCTGCTAGTGTTGAATAATCCTTGCCAGGACCTTTCCTGGCACACTGAAGGAGGGAGATGCCCCTGTAATTGTTACAGTCTGTGCGGTCGGTCCCCCTTCTTGAAGGGTGGAAGCCACCAGAGCATCCTTCCAATCCTGCGGAACCTGTCCAGTGGTCCAGACTGTTGTAATGATTGTCGACACACAAATGCCACCCTCCATCAGCAGTTCGCTTGGGAGATCATCTTTGCCCGGCGCTTTTCCTGTTCTCACACTCTGGATCGCGTTCCATACTTCCCCAACTGATGGCACTTCAGCCAGCCACTCACAGGGGGTGACTACTTCTTCCAATATTTAAGGCACAGCAGCTTCAGCGAGGTCATCCCCACCTTGCCCATGATGTTTCTGGCTGAGGGAATTCCCCTCCCCCAAGATCTCACAGAAATGCCTCAGCAAACCTGCAAACCTGTTTCTGGGGTCAGAGATCAGATCACCGGTCCTTTCCCCGAAGGATGGTGATAGGTGTCGGGCTAATGGAATTAAAGAGTGATTTGTAAACGAGGGCTACCGAGACAGATCCATCTCCTCAACAACACCGCAACCACCACTTCTCATTCTCTGACGATGGTATGCTATAGATGGTGGGAGTTGGCCTGCTACTTTTTCTCAGCTAGCTGGAACACTTCCTCCGTCAGGGTCTCTGGGGGAGGTTTGGACCGCGTACCCAAAGCAGCCATTGCAGCTACATGAGCCACAGTACTAAACCTTGCCCATTTCCCCTCAACATCAAGAGGAGGGGGGGGGGGGATGCCACCCGCAACTCGAAGCGATGATGACATTCTCACTTGCAACTTTCATCAGCTGAGACCAGGCCACTGTTGGTAGATCCTGGTGTCAAGAACATGGGCCCGCATTCTGCTGTTCCGTCACTAATAGTCCCGCAGATTTTCTTACTTGGGCCTAGTGTGTATCCAGATTTGTGGATGTGCCAATGCTGGAACAGCGTGTTGGTAATTTCAAGCCCATAGGCTGCACAGAAGTCTAGCAGCCTCCTACCCATGGTTATTTTGCTGATGTGGACCCTGCCCAGGTGCCCGCGTCATGACAAACTCGGGCATTAAAGACACCCAACAGGATGACTCTATCCAAGGGGCCATTTTAGCTAGCACCTGTGACAGGAGGTCATAGAAGGCATCGGACTAATCGGCCTTGCCTGCATCCCTCCACGGATATTCGTCTTCGGTGGGGCACAAATAACCACAACCAGTACTCCTCGCCTCTGGTTGATGGGAAGGCAAGCCCACAGTACCCTGGACTCACAGCCTCTCACACCTCACTTGCCACGCTCCCATGCCCCCTTCATTATTTTGTTCAGAGGAAAGAGCCACCCCTGTTGGTTGGCTAGTTTTCTGCCTCGAGTAGTAGAGGACTGTCAAAACCTCATAGTGACCAGTGATAGAATCAGTCCACCAGACCTCCTGAATACCACAGAGACTCCAGGCGGTACTGGTCCAGCTCGCGACAGAGGAGTGGCAGCCTCCTCCTCACACTGAGTCTTTGCACATTCCATGTGGCCAACTCACAGTGGCTTTTTGCCATTTCTAGACGAACCCAAGGTTCAGTCTCCTGGACTCTCTGCCAGGAGACGCCATAGATGCCGCCCATCCTCCCGGGACCTCGGCACAAGCTTAATTTGCGATTTATATCGTGGTCTCGTGGTAATTTAGTTGAAGGTGTATTGGTCACCTGCCCGTCGCACACGTCCAGAGCCCCCCATTTGTCGCTGTGTTGGCTAGGGAGCACACCATGATGGAAAAAAGCCGATTGGAATCGGCCTTCCCCCCCATGGTATTGCTCACCGCCACGACACTGTTACCGCCCGGCACCATCGAGGAGGTAGGGGGTTGTTTTTGTCGGTACAGAGACAAAGATACACACACAAGTACACACAACAATAGTCACCATTCGCCACAAAGTGGTAGTGATGTCACCACGGCGGTAGACACACACACATGCAAGTACACACCCATGCAGGTATACACTTATGAACACACAGGTACACAAATATGCACAGAGGTTAACACACATGCACAAATGCCTACTTGCTCACCCTCTCACCCCATCACTATTTCCCCGCTCTCTTTAACGTCTCTCGCACTCTCACCATCTCTCTCACTCACACGATCTCTCTCTCTCTCACTCTCACCATCTCTCACTCACACGATCTCTCTCGCACTCTCACCATCTCTCTCTCACTCACACAATCTCTCTCGCACTCTCACCATCTCTCTCTCACTCTCACCATCTCTCTCTCACTCTCACCATCTCTCTCTCGCTCTCACCGTCTCTCTCACTCACACGATCTCTCACTCTCACCATCTCTCTCACTCACACGATCTCTCTCTCGCTCTCACCGTCTCTCTCCGCTGTCTTAGCGCGTCTCGCCGTTGTCTCAGAGTCGTCCCTGGGGTTGAGGTAGTTACGGGGGGTCACTCCCTCCCTGAAGTCCACCTGCAGTGAGGAATGCCATCACCACCGGTCAATACGATCACCACCATCAATCATTCCCGTGAATCATTTCACATTCCCATCACTCTGCCCCCTCCCTGTGTCCCCCACCCCCGGTGCCCCCCAAGCCCCCGGACCACCCCCCCGCCACCGTGCCCCCCCCGTGCCCCCCTTACCTGCACGCGGATGTTGTCAGGGGGCCTGCCCCCCCCCCACTGGAGGTAGGAGAGCAGCGCGGCCACGAGCAGGAACGAGAAGTTACTCACAACTCCGACAAGTGCGCACGTCACGGGGAAGTAATACATCAGGTACCTACGGCAAGACACGCGGCGGACCCACACACAATCACACACAATCACAACACACAAGCACACACAATCACACACAAGCACACACAAGCACACACAAGCACACACAAGCACACACAAGCACACACAAGCACACACAAGCACACACAAGCACGAGTCGTCAACCAGACAAGTTGAACCAGAGGGACAGGGCCAACATCAACATGAGTGCACAAGTTGGCGCCATCACCGCTCATCATGGTGGTGGTGGTGGCGATGGTGGTAATAGGTGGTGATGGTGGTGGTGATGGTGGTGTTGATGGTGGTGGTGATGGTGGTGTTGATGGTGGTGGTGATGGTGGTGTTGATGGTGATGTTGATGGTGGTGTTGATTGATGATCGTGATGGTGGTGGTGTTGATGGTGGTGGTGTTGATGGTCGTGGTGGTGGTGATGGTGGTGATGGTGGTGGTGGTGGTGATGGTGGTGGTGATTGTGGTGTTGATGGTGGTGTTGATGGTGGTGCTGATGGTGGTGTGATGGTGGTGTTGATGGTGGTGTTGATTGATGGTCGTGATGGTGGTGGTGTTGATTGATGGTCGTGGTGTTGATGGTCGTGGTGGTCGTGGTGGTGGTGGTGTTGATGGTGGTGGTGGTGTTGATGGTGGTGGTGGTGTGATGGTGATGGTGTTGGTGGTGGTGTTGATGATGTTGATGGTGATGATGGTGGTGATGGTGGCATGTTGATAGTGGTGCTGTTGATAGTGGTGCTGATCGTGGTGATGGTGGCGTCACCTGAGCCCCGTGAATCGTGCGTGGATGATGGTGGTGATGATGGTGTTGATGGTAGTGGTGGTGGGGATGATGGTGATGATGATGGTGGTGATGGTGGTGATGATGGTGGTGATGGTGGTGATGGTGGTGGTGATGGTGGTGATGGTAGTGGTGGTGGCGTCACCTGAGCCCTGTGAATCGTGCGTGGATGATGGTGATGATGGTGATGGTGGCATGTTGATAGTGGTGGTGATGATGGTAGTGGTGGTGGTGATGGTGGCGTCACCTGAGCCCTGTGAATCGTGCGTGGATGCGCACGATTGCCGAGTAGATCTCCACTCTGCGCGCGCGAATCTCAACCAGAGCCCCCCACGTGGGGCGGTACTACACACACAAAGACAAAGATCCCCCATGTAGCACACACAGGCAGTTGGGGAAAGTGCTGTTAGCGAGTAGCACCTATGAAGGCTGGCACGGCACACCTATGAAAGGGTGGTTGTGTGTGGGTGTATTGTGGCTGTGGGTGGCTGTGCGTGGTGGTTGTTTGTGATTGTGTGTAGTGGTTGCGTGTGATTGTGTGTAGTGGTTGTGTTCGATTGTGTGTGGGTGTATTGTGGCTGTGGGTGGCTGTGCGTGGTGGTTGCGTGTGATTGTGTGTAGTGGTTGTGTTCGATTGTGTGTGGGTGTATTGTGGCTGCGTGTGGCTGCGTGTGGTGGTTGTGGTTGCTCACCGCGTTTTCTCGGTAGTCCGAGTAGAAGTTTACGTCAAGCGTCTGCTTCTGCTCGGTCCAACCGCCGAGCAGCAGCGGTGCGTTCACCACAGTCTCCATCAACCGCAACAACCACGAGCGGTATCGCAACATCACCTGCACCACCGCAAACACCACGGACGGTACCGCTACATCACCTGCACCAGTACCACGGGTGGCATCGCTGCATCACGTGCACAACCACCACCATGACCACAACATCCGTAATGTATGTGTATGCCAATACTGTGGGGAGAGGTAGTGCAGCGGTTAGCACTTTGCACTACAAACGCAATGACTCGAGTTAGATTCTCGCTCACGGCCAGACGATTATCTGAACCGGTAATAGGCCTCCCCGAGGTCGACTTCGCCTCAAATGGTGCTATGTGTACGTCGCCACTAGGTAGACAAAGGCGGCCGGGCGTGGTGCTGGCCACACATGCCCTCGTGTGCCGTACCGGCTTTCATAGGTGCTCGCAAAAAGCACTTGCCCCAACAGTCTATTAAGGCTATACGGTGGATTTTTGGCTTTGTTTTGCATGCCTCTACCGACAGTAAATACTGTCACGTGTAGTGAAGTGTATGGTAAGTCCTCGCTTAACAAGTGGCGTTCACACTGCAACGCGGTTCTTCCATCAGAGAGCGCTTTTCGTGCACTGCGTAATGCGCGCCATTGTAAGGCAGAATGCTCACTGCTATAACGTGGAGTGTACCCCGTCATAATGCGGGGCACGCCCGTCATAACGCGGGTTTCGGAACAGCCGATGAAGAACTACTTTCTGCAGCTGCGCGGCCGAGCGGAGCGGTGATACTGCTAATCCTGCATAATGACTTTAAACCCCTCGCCAAACCTCCTACGCATTTCACAAGTAGTGCTAATCGCATATCTGCATTTCCCATAAATATGCTAAATTCCTCTTGATATGAAAATTATTATGTCAAGACGCTCTTCGACCCTCCATCCCAGCATAAATAGTCGCTCCAAGCCTGGGGCGTGCCATTCAGACTCTGCCTTCTCGACAGACCTGTTCTACACCTGAGGACGGCTGCTTGCGTTGTGGCCGAAACGTCGTGAGAATTATTTTATTATGTTGTATTTTTATTATTTTATTATTTTCCTTCTACGTGACTTTACCGAAAGAACCAAGAAGATGATCTCACTGTGTATGCGTAGTTCATCGCATCCGGTCAAACTTTCTCGTTACAATATTCATGGGGGGGAAATGTTTTTTCTCAACGCGTTTTTCTCTCAACGCGGCACTTTTCAGGAACGCATCTACCGTGTTAAAGGAGGACTTGCTGTATTGCAGCAGGTGCTGTCAATGTGCGAGTACCGCGCGCTCTGCTGTTTGCAGACTCTCGCCTCCGCGCCCGTACGTCTCCATGACGACCATGAACATCCCCAGCCGCTGATTGGTCGGAGACTCGGGGAGGACCAACTCCAGGGAGATGTGGTACGGGGTCCCGAACATCATCGCCTACATCATCACCACCACCAACATCATCAGCATCTACAGCATCACCGTCAACATCATAACCATCGACATCATGGTCAACATCATCATCAACATCACCACCAACTCCAGGGAGATGTGGTACGGGGTCCCGAACATCATCGCCTACATCATCACCACCACCAACATCATCAGCATCTACAGCATCACCGTCAACATCATAACCATCGACATCATGGTCAACATCATCATCAACATCACCACCAACTCCAGGGAGATGTGGTACGGGGTCCCGAACATCATCGCCTACATCATCATCACCACAACCATCACCATTACCGTAAACATCATTACCATCGACATCATAGTCAACATCATCACCAACAACTCCAGGGAGATGTGGTAGGGGGTCCCGAACATCATCGCCTACATCATCATCACCATCAACATCATTACCATCTACATCATTATCACCACCACCATCAACATCATCAGCATCTACAGCATCAACATCATCAGCATCTACATCATAGTCAACATCATCATCAACATCACCACCAACTTCAGAGATGTGTGATACGGGGTCCCGAAAATCGTCATCATCAACTGGTCCCGGTCCTCCTCAGAATTGGGGAGACAAAGGCGGCCGGGCGTGTTTCTCACCACACCACCCCCTCGTAGGTGTCGTGTCGGCCTCTATTAGTGCTCGCTAACAGCACTTGCCCCGACAGTCTGTGCAGGCTACACGGGGGGTCTTTGTCTCTGTGTGCGAGTGACCTGGTCACGCCCGTGGTGGTGGTGAGCGAGACGTTAGCCACGGGGAATGAGCACAGCTCCTCCCCGAGACGGGGGCAGTCGGACCTGGGGCAACACACAGGGGGGTGACACAACAACAACACACAGGGGGGTGACACAACAACAACAACAGCGACAGCAGCTCGTGCCTGGCTAGGTGCACTGCGAGGTTGCCGTCGCGTTACGTGGGAGGCTCGCTGCTGGCAGGTCGCGGGACAGGTCAACACACACACACAATGCATCTGCACCCTCCCCACCACCACCACCGGTAGTGTCTCCTCGGTCCCGTGTCCCCCTTGTTACCCCTGTGTGCTCCGCCCCCCACGACTCCCTCGTTTCTCCTGCGCCTTGGCCGTGTCCCCCGGTGTCTCCTCGCCGCGTCTCCCCCCTCGTGTTCCCTGCAAGCCCCCTCAGGTCTCCGTGTCCCCTGCGTCTCCCCCGCTCACGTCCCGCACATGGCCGCGTTGTCTCCACGTCCCTCTTGCCTCTCTCGCGTACAGCACATTCCGCCTGCGTCTCCACTCCCCTTGGGGCGCGTCTGCTCTAAACTCTAATCCCGTCTCGGTCCCCTCGTGTCTCCCCCTCAGTCCCCTTCCACCCGTGCGTCTCCACGTCTCCCCCCCCCCTCGCATGCGTCTCCCTCCATTCGGACCTCTCCTTCACGAGCCCAGGCGGCCAGGGCCCCGCTACCTGAAGTGGTAGTGCGCGGGCGCCTCGAAGCTCACGGCCGGCATGTACGAGTAGTAGAAGGAGCCGTAGAGGAAGAGCGACACCCAGAGCAGTAGCAGCAGCACGGAGCCGGCGAGCGCGGCGCGCAGCAGCGAGCGCCGCGCCCGAACCAACCCCAGCACCAGCGCCTCGTGGCCCCACGCCGCCAGCAGCAGCAGCGGCCGCGCCGACAACGACGGCGCCGCCGGGGGACCACCACCCGCGCCGCCTCCCCGGCCCCGCGGCGGCGGCGGCAGAGGCGGCGCGGTGGGGACCCGGGGACCCCGCATCACCGCGCCGCCCGGAGCTCTCGGCCGCGTTCTCGCGCGCCGGCGGCGAACCCTGGCAAACGCCGGCACGGCTCGAGGCAGCGCTAGGCCGCAGCTGCCGCGAATGCTGTGGATGGTGAAGACGGGGGGGGTGGGCCGGTAGGAGGGAGAGAGACGGGGGGTTGTGGGTCACTTAGGGTCAGATCGGGGTGGCCGTAGAGGTCAGAGTCACGCGGGAGGTCACCCCGCCGCTGCCGCAGAGCCGCACACGTGCGCGCTAATTTGAATCAGCTGTTTACAGGATGCACTTCCGGGATACGTCACCGCTGGACACGCCCCCTTCACCCCGCGGGATGACATCACTTCCTAACCGGCCTCCGAGTTGTCAAGGGGGGCCTGGGGTCGAGATTGAACCCAGCTACGTGGGGGGCCCAGGCGGCGAGATCAAGGGGCTCCGGGGGGTCACGGGGGTACGGACCCAGGCGGCGAGATCAAGGGGCTCCGGGGGGTCACGGGGGTACGGACCCAGGCGGCGAGATCAAGGGGCTCCGGGGGGTCACGGGGGTACGGACCCAGGCGGCGAGATCAAGGGGACCCGGGGGGTCACGGGGGGTACGGACCCAGGCGGCGAGATCAAGGGGCTCCGGGGGGTCACGGGGGGTACGGACCGAGGCATTCGAAGTTTGCCGGTGGGACTCAAACCCCCTTGGACTGGAGGAGCCGAGTCGTCGTCGTCTCCGGCGATCGAACCCCGGGACCCGTGGGGGTCTGTGACTCAGCCCCCTGGGACTCGGGGGTCGACTCAAGGCATCATTCGACTCAGGAACCCCCAGGGAAGGGAGTCAAACCTGAGACTCTGGGGGTGAGGAGCGGGGAGATTTTCAGCGGTCAAACTCAAGGCCTTGAGACGAAGTCGACCGGCGTCTGCGGGTGGCGCCCAGGGCGCTCAGGGGACCGCAGCTGCCCTTGAACCTCGCCTCGAACTCGCCCTCCTCGCGACTCGGGGCTACCGGGCAGTGCACGCCATGTTCTCATGCCGGGGCCGAGTCACGCCGGGTCCGTGGCACCCGGGCCTGAGGCGTCTCCGCACGGGTTCCAGTTCCGCTGTTCCCCGTGGCCCGGCTGTTCCCGGGGGACCGGCTGTTCCTGGGGGACCAGCTGCTCCCGGGGGGTCAGCTGTTCCCGGGGGACCAGCTGTTCCTGGGGGGCCAGCTGTTCCTGGGGGGCCAGCTGTTCCCGGGGGACCAGCTGTTCCCGGGGGACCGGCTGTTCCCGGGGGGCCGGCTGTTCCCGGGGGGCCGGCTGTTCCCGGGGGACCAGCTGTTCCTGGGGGGCCAGCTGTTCCCGGGGGCCCGGATCTCGTGTCCGACCTGGTGGCCACTTTGAGCGCGGGGCTCCGCGTGGCCACGCAGCGCGCCGCCCGCGCCGGGCGCCAGTGGTGGAGCCGCTACGAGGAGGTGGTGGGCCTCACGGAACTACGAGACGCGCAGAGCAAAGTGACGCAGGTACCCACGACCCCTGGAGGAGTCAACAAGGGTGGGGACCACGGGGGCTTGTGTACTAGAGGACCATGGGACCACGGATACTGGAGTGTCAGAGTACTGTGGGACCACGTGTGCTGGAGTACTAGAGCTACGGTACCACGGGTCCTGGAGTGCCAGAGTGATGTGGGACCACGTGTGCTGGAGTTCTAGAGGACCATGGGACCACGGGTACTGGAGTGTCAGAATACTGTGGGACCACGTGTGCTGGAGTTCTAGAGGACCATGGGACCACGGGTACTGGAGTGCCAGAGTACTGTGGGACCACGTGTGCTGGAGTTCTAGAGGACCATGGTACCACAGGATACTGGAGTGTCAGAGTACTGTGGGACCACGTGTGCTGGAGTACTAGAGGACCATGGTTCCGCAGGATACTGGAGTGTCAGAGTGATGTGGGACCACGTGTGCTGGAGTTCTAGAGGACCATGGTTCCACAGGATACTGCAGTGTCAAGAGTGCTGTGGGACCACGTGTGCTGGAGTTCTAGAGGACCATGGTACCACAGGATACTGGAGTGTCAGAGTGCTGTGGGACCACGTGTGCTGGAGTTCTAGAAGACTATGGTACCACAGGATACTGGAGTGTCAGAGTGATGTGGGACCACGTGTGCTGGAGTACTAGAGGGCCATGGTACCACAGGATACTGCAGTGTCAGAGTACTGTGGGACCACGTGTGCTGGAGTTCTAGAGGACCATGGTACCACGGATGCTGGAGTCAGTACTGTGGAACCACGTGTGCTGGAGTTCTAGAGGACCATGGTACCACAGGATACTGCAGTGTCAAGAGTGCTGTGGGACCACGTGTGCTGGAGTTCTAGAGGACCATGGTACCACAGGATACTGGAGTGTCAGAGTGCTGTGGGACCACGTGTGCTGGAGTACTAGAGGACCATGGTACCACAGGATACTGCAGTGTCAAGAGTGCTGTGGGACCACGTGTGCTGGAGTTCTAGAGGACCATGGTACCACAGGATACTGGAGTGTCAGAGTGCTGTGGGACCACGTGTGCTGGAGTTCTAGAAGACTATGGTACCACAGGATACTGGAGTGTCAGAGTGATGTGGGACCACGTGTGCTGGAGTACTAGAGGACCATGGTACCACAGGATACTGGAGTGTCAGAGTACTGTGGGACCACGTGTGCTGGAGTTCTAGAGGACTATGGTACCACGGGTACTGGAGTGTCAGAGTGATGTGGGACCACGTGTGCTGGAGTTCTAGAGGACCATGGGACCACGGGTACTGGAGTGCCAGAGTACTGTGGGACCACGTGTGCTGGAGTTCTAGAGGACCATGGTACCACAGGATACTGGAGTGTCAGAGTACTGTGGGACCACGTGTGCTGGAGTACTAGAGGACCATGGTTCCGCAGGATACTGGAGTGTCAGAGTGATGTGGGACCACGTGTGCTGGAGTTCTAGAGGACCATGGTTCCACAGGATACTGCAGTGTCAAGAGTGCTGTGGGACCACGTGTGCTGGAGTTCTAGAGGACCATGGTACCACAGGATACTGGAGTGTCAGAGTGCTGTGGGACCACGTGTGCTGGAGTTCTAGAAGACTATGGTACCACAGGATACTGGAGTGTCAGAGTGATGTGGGACCACGTGTGCTGGAGTACTAGAGGGCCATGGTACCACAGGATACTGCAGTGTCAGAGTACTGTGGGACCACGTGTGCTGGAGTTCTAGAGGACCATGGTACCACGGATACTGGAGTCAGTACTGTGGAACCACGTGTGCTGGAGTTCTAGAGGACCATGGTACCACAGGATACTGCAGTGTCAAGAGTGCTGTGGGACCACGTGTGCTGGAGTTCTAGAGGACCATGGTACCACAGGATACTGGAGTGTCAGAGTGCTGTGGGACCACGTGTGCTGGAGTACTAGAGGACCATGGTACCACAGGATACTGCAGTGTCAAGAGTGCTGTGGGACCACGTGTGCTGGAGTTCTAGAGGACCATGGTACCACAGGATACTGGAGTGTCAGAGTGCTGTGGGACCACGTGTGCTGGAGTTCTAGAAGACTATGGTACCACAGGATACTGGAGTGTCAGAGTGATGTGGGACCACGTGTGCTGGAGTACTAGAGGACCATGGTACCACAGGATACTGGAGTGTCAGAGTACTGTGGGACCACGTGTGCTGGAGTTCTAGAGGACTATGGTACCACGGGTACTGGAGTGTCAGAGTGATGTGGGACCACGTGTGCTGGAGTTCTAGAGGACCATGGTTCCACAGGATACTGGAGTGTCAGAGTACTGTGGGACCACGTGTGCTGGAGTACTAGAGAAATGGTACCACGGATACTGCAGTGCCAGAGTACTGTGGGACCACGTGTGCTGGAGTTCTAGAGGACCATGGTACCACGGATGCTGCAGTTCCAGAATACTTTGGGACCACGTGTGCTGGAGTTCTAGAGGACCATGGTACCAAGGATACTGGAGTGCCAGAGTACTGTGGGACCACGTGTGCTGGAGTTCTAGAGGACCATGGTACCACGGGTACTGGAGTGTCAGAGTACTGTGGGACCACGTGTGCTGGAGTTCTAGAGGACCATGGTACCACAGGATACTGGAGTGCCAGAGTACTGTGGGACCACGTGTGCTGGAGTTCTAGAGGACCATGGGTGCTGAAGCACTGTCGTGGTATTGTGTCGTGGAACCAACAGTCGCAGGTCATTGCTGCTGCACAGGAGGTGGTGGTATTGTGGTGGTGGCAGCAGTGGCGGTGATGGTGATAGAAGTTCTGGTGGCGGTGGTAGCAATTTTGGTGATAGTGGTGGTGCTGGTGGTGGTGGTGGTCGCAGTTTTAGTGGTGGTGGTGGTCGTGGCGGTGGTAGCAGTTGTGGTGGTGGTGGGAGCAGTTCTGGTTGTGGTGGTTGGTGGTGGCAGTTCTGGAGGTGGTGGTGGTGGTGGGAGCAGTTCCGGTGGTGGTAGTAGCAATTGTGGTGGTAGTGGTGGTAGCAGTTGTGGTGGTGGTGGGAGCAGTTCTGGTTGTGGTGGTTGGTGGTGGCAGTTCTGGTTGTGGTTGGTGGTGGTGGTGGGAGCAGTTCTGGTTGTGGTGGTTGGTGGTGGCAGTTCTGGAGGTGGTGGTGGTAGCAGTTCTGGAGGTGGTGGTTTCCCAACGGAGCCATGGGGAAACGAGACAATTTGCCCAAGCTCAGTGATCCTATGTCGTGATGTCGTGGCTGTGGCCATCCCCCAGGCGGAGGGGGTGTTCCTAGCGGCACGCGGGGCCGTGCGCCAGGCCCAGGCCCAGGTGGACGCGCTCCAGGTTCAGCTGCGCCAGGCCAGGGACCGGCTGGAGCGAGTGGAGAGAGACGACGCCAGGTACCTGGAGCTCGCTACTGAGGAGCACCGCCTCCTGCAGGTGAGACACGGGGACACGGGACAGGGGTGGACAGGGACGGGGGTCAAGGGACAGGGGGACAGGGGGTCAAGGGACAGGAGGACATGGGGCAGGGGGAGATGTGGAATGGGGGAGACGGGGACACGGGACAGGGGAGGACGGGGACAGGGGGTCAAGGGACAGGGTGACACGGGGCAGGGAGAGATGGGGAATGGGGGAGACGGAGACACGGGGACACGGGACAGGGGTGGATGGGGACGGGGGACAGGGGGTCAAGGGACAGGGGGACACGGGACAGGGGATCAAGGGACAGGGGGACAGGGGGTCAAGGGGAGATGGGGAATGGGGGAGACGGAGACACATGTGGGACATGTGCGGTGTCTACTTGATCATCAGCTTGTGTCCTGTATGTCTCTTAAACCATGGTCCCGTGCGTTCCGTGTGTGCTTGTCGCGTATGACTGCGTGCCATTTGCTGCTTCTCATATCCTCCTTGTGTCTCCACAGGAGGAGTGCACGATGCGAGCGGGCTTCATGCACTGCGTGTCTCCCTGTGTCTCCCTGTGTCTCCCTGTGTCTCCCGGTGTCTCCCTGTGTCTCCCCGTCTCCAGTTGTCTCACCATGCCCCCCCCCCGTGTTTTCTCCGCAGGAGGAGCGCGTGGTGCGCGCCAACCACGTGCGCTGCGCCCACGCGGAGCGCGACGCGTTCTCGGCGTTCTCGGCGGGCGTGCGCGAGAGCCACGAGAAGGAGCGCGCTCGCACCGAGCGCACCAAGAACTGGTCGCTCATCGGCTCCATCGTGGGGGCCCTGGTCGGCGTCGCGGGCTCCACGTACATCAACCGGGCAAGCGGCGGGGGGGGGGGGGGGGTGTTCGGGGCACGGGGGACATGTGGGGGTTTGCTTTGCTGTGTCAACTTGTGTCCCCCCATCATGGTCATCGTCATTGTTGTCCCCATGTCCCACATGAATCCTACGTGTCCTGTGGGAATCCCATCACTTCTCCCGTACGGCCTTCGTCATTACCATCGTCATTACCATCGTCATTACCATCGTCATTACCATCGTGATGTCGTCGTCGTCGTGATCCCCTTCGTGCGCCCTGTGTGCGAGTCCCATGCACCCCACACGCGGCTCCATCATCTTCGTCGCCGCCGCAATGGTAAGGGTGCTCTCGCCCACTCTCCACACCAAAGACAAAGATCCCCCATATAGCCTGAACGGACGAGGCAGCGGGTGGCCTACACTACGCCCAGCCACCTTTGTCTCCCTCATGGCGATGTTTACACATCACACCGGGTACTCATTTGAGGCTCAGTCAACCTGGGGGAGGTCCGGTTTAGATAATTAGGACTGGTGTTGGCCGTGAGCGGGAGTCGAACTCGGGTCGCCGGATTCGTAGCGCAGCGCTCTAACCGCCCCCCCCCCCCCCCCCGTAGGTCCGCCTGGCCGAGCTGCGCCAGCTCGTGGGGGAGGCACGGGGCGGCCCCGAGTCGTTGCAGGATGCGCTCCGGGAGCAGGCGGCGGCGCACGCGCAGCAGCAGGCGCAGCTCGCAGGCGCCGTGACGCAGCTCCGCACGCTGCTGCTTGGTGCGCCCCACACACGCGCCACTCTCCCCCGTGGTGTGCACGTGTCGCTCTCCCTCGTGTGTCGCTCTCTACCGTATGCGCGTGTCAGTGAAATAGTCTAGGGCCATCCCCTGGTGCGGTGTATAGTGGGGAAACAGGCAAATGGGCGTGGTTCTGGCCACACCACCTCCTCTTGTGTCACCTCAACCTTCATCGGTGCTACTCACAGCACTTGCCTAAACAGTCTGTTAAGGCTACACAGGGGATCTTTGTCTTTCTCCCTGTCTCATGCGTCTATCTCTCACGCGTCTCACACTAGCGTGAGCCGCCCCTTCTCCCTGCACTGGCGCCACGTCTAGCATCTCCCGTCTTTTCCCAGCCGCCAGCACCACCAGGACCCAGCAGCAGCCGCAGCTGCTGGCACCGACACCCGGATCCGCGGAGCCGGCGCCGAGCGTTGGCGGCGGCGTTGGCAGCGACGACGGCGGCGACAACGGTGTGGCCGGCGGGATGCCCGCGTGGCTGGCGCCGCTGCGGGAGGCGGCGGAGCGCTCGGACCGGCGGCTCTCCGAGCTGGCGGGTGGGGTGCGCGAGCTGCGCCGGCTCGCCCGCGGCTCCGCCGCCGCCGGCCACGCGGGGCCCACGGCGCAAGTCGAGGGGAGCGGCGAGAGCGGCGAGAGCGACCAAACGGCGGCGGAACCGGCGGGGACGGAGCGCGGCCCGGAACCGGCGGACGGCGGCGCTTGGCCGGAAGGGACCGGCGCTCTGCGGGAGGGAACCGCCGAGGAGGAGGAGGAGATTGAGCGCGAGGTGGCGGTGCTGGGCGCCCTGTGGGACACGGAGGAGCGGCTGGCGCGCCGCGTCGACCGGCTGGCGTGGGCCGGGGTGGCGCTGGCGGTGGGGGCGGCTGCTGTGGCCGCGGTGGTCGCGCGGGGGGGGTGATGGCGCCGGTCGGGGGGCAAGGGAGTATGTGCAACACACAATTGTGCACACGGCAGCAAATGTTCACCGTTAATTGGCGGTGAATTTACCATGGCGCTTGTGCCAGGCTAGGTGTACCTCGAGGCCGTCACGTGAAGTGTGAAAGGCTCGCTGCTGGTAAGTCATAGGACAGACCCAAGTGCCACGGGTTGTGCTGAGATGACTGGTAGATGCATCAACTGTGCTCCCTACTGTGCCACCTTGCAAACACTTTAGACACACATGTAACACGCATACATACACATGCTCGCAAGGTTGGGACATGCATCGTTGAGTGCGAGAAGCAACTTTAATGGATGAATAATCGCTCGTGCCAGTCACTCACTCGCTCCCTCCCGGTTGTGCCTCCGTCCGCTTGTGACACCTTGCTGCTGCTGCGATTGGTTACGTTGTGATTTAGCGATATGATATGCGATGATTAAAGTGCAGAGGCAGCTGCTGCAGTTGCGAGTTATCGAGGAGACCCACGTGGGAAACCCTGGAAACTACTGACAAACCTTCCCGGTGCTGGAGCTGTCAATAAATAAACCACGTCACGTGGTGGTGGTGATGTTGGTGGTGCGATGGTGTTTCTGATAATTGGTGGTGGCGGCGGTCGTGATGAGTGGTGGTGGTGTAGTGGTTGTGGTGACCCAATCGGTAACCAGGCTCAAACCTGCTTAGCTTCTCTGTTCTGTTGCGATTGGACACATTGCGGGAGATTTGGTCATGAGAAAAATTATCGTGGTGGTGATGGGGGCCGGTGTGGGCCAGTGTATGCAGGAGTGAGGAGATGTGGGCAGCTGGGCGAGGGATCTTGAGTGCGCGACATTGAGAGACACTTCTATTAGTTTATTATGATGCTAGTTTGTGCATCAGTGAGGAACCTGCGTCTCGATTAGTGGTTCTCAGGGTGCGGTCCCCATGACCCCCCCGGTGGTCCGTGACAGTCCTCCAGGTAGTTCGTGGAACTCTGATGCAAACGAAGGTTGATCCTCGAGTAACGACTACGTTTTTACACCCTTAGTTTAAGACGTTAATTTAGATTTTACTTGTGATATTTAATTTATAAAATTAAGTTAGGTAAATTGTCCTGATCAAACTACCCTAACCCTAAGATCTAAATGCCACCCCTTAAAAAAAAAAAAACTTTTCGCTGCGTTGACATTTTTTTTTAATGTTCCGGTAATATGAATCATTTTGTATCACAGGGACTCCTCTACTTCGGAACATTCGACTTAAGAACTTTCAGAGAAACGAACAAACCTGTGCGTATGTCCAGTCGCCTGTTCCGACCGAAAGTCGCAAGTTCAACCACCGCGCAATAGATAGCTGTGATGGCATCTACATCTGCAGAACATGAAAAACCAGTAGCATCTACATCTACAGATTATAATAATAGGGTTTTCTCCTTTTTCTGGCAACAAAACTGAAACCTTTTTACGAGGATTCGTGTTACTGCATTAACCACAATACTTGCAGACCCAATTGGGTCGAGGCTCGTAAGAAAGCCATCCCTTGGTGTGGACCAATCAATTTCAAGGACAATGCATATATTATCAATGTGTGTTTTTTGTTTCAATTTGCCTGCAAAGTATTGTGGTTAATGCATACATGAATCCTTGTAAAAAGGTTTCAGCTTTGTTGCCAGAAAAAAGGGGAAACCCCCTATTATATTTTGGTACTGGCAAAGGAGGTCCAATGATGATCTACAGGTTATTCAACTTTTACAGCTATTCCCCGTGTTTAGTGTACATGCCGTTTCAGATTTTTGGAATCGACAAGAGTAATGTTGTTGAACTTACAAACAAATCGACTTACGAACAGACCTCTGGAACCCAACTCGTTCGTAAGTAGAGGAATCCGTTCTTCTTGGTTCTTTCGGTAAAGTCACGTAGAAGGGAAATAATAAAATAATAAAAATTTAATAATTCTCACGACGTTTTGGCCACAACGCAAGCAGCCGTCCTCAGGTGAGGAACAGGTCTGTCGGAAAGACAGCGTCTGAATGAGGAGCCCCTGTACGAGTATTTAGAGACGAGTGAATGCGTTTTGTCACCAGGGGTGGGGAGCTGGGTGACCCGTGGAAATGTTTGCATTAGGCTGAGTGGTCCACGGGCTAAATCAAGTTTGCGTAACACTGCTGTACAAGTCTTTGGCTGCTAGAAATCCCCACGCAATGATATAAGCTGCTTTGTAGAGCGATCATTTGTGGGCCTCACCTGGTAGGATGAAAATAGTAAATAGAAAAATTAACCCGTAAAAACAAAGTTTTTCACTATAAATCCTTTATATGCGTGGCGGCTAGAGTCCTCTCGTCCTCTGGCTTGAGATGGCTGCCACCTATGGGTCAGATGATTGCCTGCCACCACTAAGCAATTGGTAATTAAATATAATTTATTTTTTCCTAAAAAGTGTAAAATTTTGGAAAAATTTTCACGATAATAAATTGTCACGCACAACGAGTCTGTGTGCAAAATGTCAGCTCGATTGGATCACGGTAAGTGGGTTAAAAAACGACCGAAAGATTTGCACGGTCGTAAGCGCGCAAGCAAGCAAGCAAGTGAACTTAATATAAAGGATTTAAAAAGCCCCACTGAGTCTCAAGACCTGGGGGAGGGGGTGGGCACGATGCAGCGGCTGCTGCTGTGTGATCCCAATTGAGTGATGTGCAGCTGATATTCCAACATTGGGTTGTGATTCTATTTCACCAATGCTAGTTCATCCGCACCTAGTTTACACAACAAAGGCTCATTCCTAACAGCGTGCTTCAGTCGCACCGAACCTCAAAAAAATAATATTCAGCGCCTACCTTGGCTCCTCCCACCCTCAACCAGTATATATACAAATACTGTTTCTTGAAATTTCTCTCACTTGATACAGCTATCGTGCTGTGACGGTTCCACCTGAAGACGGAAGCTTGTGTTGCCTCCGAAACGTCGTGATTTTAATTTCATTTTTATTTTACTTTTATTAATTACAATTTTTTACCTACGTGACTTTACCGGAAAAAAACCTAAGAATATGAATACTAGTTCCACTTGTGTGGGGGGGGGGTTGTTATCCCGGAAGAAGCCCATGCAGGACAGGGGGACAACACACAAACTCCACGCAGGGGAGTGCTGGCCCTCTCAGTCCAGCTCAAACAGCAGGTCGTTCTGGAATTGGATTGGACAGCGAGTCACATGGTCGCTGGGGTCGCTGCTCAGTATCTCGAACCCATGGGCACCACCGTCGTCACCCCCTCGCTCATCGGGTGGAGTCTGCGGTTGTCCATCTGGTTGAGTGGGGAGTTGTTTTGGTTGAGTGCCTGGTTGTCCATCTGGTTGAGTGTCCATTTGTTTTTTTGGTTGAGTGTCTAGTTCTTCTTGAGTGTCTGGGTGTTCTGACTTTGTGTCTGGTTGTTGCTCATCTGGTTGAGTGTCTAGTTCTTCTTGAGTGTCTGGGTGTTCTGACTTTGTGTCTGGTTGTTGTTCATCTGGTTGAGTGTCTGGTGGTTGCTCATCTGGCTTGCCATGTTCTGGTTGAGTGTCTGTTTGTTTCTCTGATTGCTCACGTGGTTGAGTGTCCAATTGTTGTTCATCCGGTGCAGTGGCCAGTTGCTCTGGTTGAGTATCTCGTTGTTTTGCTTGAGTGTCGGATTGTTGTCCGTCTGGGTGACTGTCCGGTTGTTGTCCATCTGGGTGACTGTCCCGTTGTTGTCCGTCTGCTTGAGTGTCAGATTGTTGTCCGTCTGGGTGACTGTCCGGTTGTTGTCCGTCTGCTTGAGTGTCGGATTGTTGTCCGTTTGCTTGAGTGTCAGATTGTTGTCCGTCTGCTTGAGTGTCAGATTGTTGTCCGTCTGCTTGAGTGTCAGATTGTTGTCCGTCTGGGTGACTGTCTGGTTGTTGCCTGTCTGCTTGAGTGTCCGGTTGTTGTCTGTCTGCTTGAGTGTCTGGTTGTTGCCTGTCTGCTTGAGTGTCCGGTTGTTGTCTGTCTGCTTGAGTGTCCAGTTGTTGATTGTCTGCTTGAGTGTCCGGTTGTTGTCTATCTGCTTGAGTGTCCGGTTGTTGTTTATCTGCTTGAGTGTCCGGTTGTTGTCTGTCTGCTTGAGTGTCTGGTTGTTGTCTGTCTGCTTGACTGTCCGGTTGTTGCCTGTCTGCTTGAGTGTCCGAGTGTTGTCCGTTTGATTGAGTGTCCGGTTGTTGTCTATCTGCCTGAGTGTCTGGTTGTTGTCCGTCTGCTTGAGTGTCAGATTGTTGTCCGTCTGCTTGAGTGTCAGATTGTTGTCCGTCTGGGTGACTGTCTGGTTGTTGCCTGTCTGCTTGAGTGTCCGGTTGTTGTCTGTCTGCTTGAGTGTCTGGTTGTTGCCTGTCTGCTTGAGTGTCCGGTTGTTGTCTGTCTGCTTGAGTGTCCAGTTGTTGATTGTCTGCTTGAGTGTCCGGTTGTTGTCTATCTGCTTGAGTGTCCGGTTGTTGTTTATCTGCTTGAGTGTCCGGTTGTTGTCTGTCTGCTTGAGTGTCTGGTTGTTGTCTGTCTGCTTGACTGTCCGGTTGTTGCCTGTCTGCTTGAGTGTCCGAGTGTTGTCCGTTTGATTGAGTGTCCGGTTGTTGTCTATCTGCCTGAGTGTCTGGTTGTTGTCCGTCTGCTTGAGTGTCTGGTTGTTGTCCACCTGCTTGAGTGTCTGGTTGTTGTCTGTCTGCTTGAGTGTCCGGTTGTTGTTCATCTGCTTGAGTGTCCGGTTGTTGTTTATCTGCTTGAGTGGCCGGTTGTTGTCCGTCTGCTTGAGTGTCCGAGTGTTGTCCGTTTGATTGAGTGTCCGGTTGTTGTTTATCTGCTTGAGTGTCTGGTTGTTGTCTGTCTGCTTGAGTGTCCGGTTGTTGCCCATCTGCCTGAGTGTCTGGTTGTTGTTCGTCTGCTTGAGTGTCCGGTTGTTGTCTGTCTGATTGAGTGTCCGGTTGTTGCCCGTCCGATTGAGTGTCCGGTTGTTGTTCGTCTGCTTGAGTGTCCGGTTGTTGTCTGTCTGCTTGACTGCCCTGTGCGTCCACCTGCCCCACCTCTCGCACGAGCGGTGCGCCACTACGCTCGCGCCGCCCGGCCGTCAGGGCGTTTTTCCTGGCGAGCGTCTCCACGGTGACGGTCAGGGTGTTGGCGTCGCGGTTGAGCTTGGCGTGCCCCCCGCCGGCCACAACCGGCAGCGGCAGCGGCACGATCAGGTGTGCGCACGGCTCATGCTCTTGCTGCTCAGGGTGCTTGGCATGCGACAGCGTGAGCTCCATGGCCGTGTGGCCGACCTCGAGACGCATGGCGGCGCCGGGCTGCGCCAGGCAGCGTGCGCACGCCCCGGCCAGGTCGATGCGCACCACCAGCTCGTGCGCGGCAGCTGCGCTCCGTGGGGCGGCATCCACCGCAAAGTCCTGCACACGCGCCAGGCGCACCACGTGCAAAGGTCACCCGCGTAGCCCACGCGGACTGTTGGGGCAAGGTACTGTGAGCGAGCAACAGCTACGAAGGCGGGCGTGGAGCAGCCGCGAGGGGGTGCGTGGCTCGCACCACGCCCGGCCGCCTTTGTCTCCCCAGTGCTGATGTTCAATACTCGGCAGCAGGCACCCGTTTACGTCCGAGTCGACCTTTATGGAGACCCGGGATCAGTTGAGATATCGGTCGCCCACGTAGGCCGTGAACTGGAATTGAACTCGCGTCGCCGGGTTCGTAGTACAGGACGCTAACAACTGTACCACGGCTCCAACACACACGCACACACACAGGCAGGCACACACGTAGACGCCATATACACCCCCACACACACACGGACCCACACCCCTTACGCACGCACCTGCATGTCGGAGTACGTTCTGCGCGTCACGGTGTACTGCAGCCCCCCTGCAGCTTTCCCACAATCCTTTGCGGCGGGCTGCCCCTGCGTAACGGCAGGGGACTCGCTGGCACACGAACTCGAGTCCGGGACTCCGCCTCCCGCTCCACCACCTCCACCTCCGTCGCGTCTCCTGGGTGGAAAACAAAACTCTCCGTTGCGTTCGCTGTCTCCGCGCCCCTCCGACGCCGTCCCCATCGTTTCAAGGCGACAGCAGCAGGAAGTCCAGCTCCGACTACTCCACTTGCCACTTATTTCCGAGATTCGAACCGTGAACTTCTGCAACGAGCTGCGAACACGCCACCGATGTGCCCCGATGCGTCACTACCCATACCTGTTGCGGTTGCCGTGAATCTTGGTTGCGGTTGTGCCGGTGCTGAGGACGCTGGTGGTGGTGGTGTTGGTGGTGGTGGTGGCGCCTGAGTACGGGTACGGCATCTGTAGGAGAGAGGGCGGTAGAGAGAGAGGTCAGCAGGGGCGGGGGGGGGAGTGTGACCCCAACTCTCAGGGTCTCTTGCCACCAAAGACACGAGACTTGATGACAACGCTTGGGTTTTGATGACGTTAACCGAGCCGGCAGAGAGATGAATGAACCGTCACGACGCTCGTTGCTTCCATCGTGAGCTGCTCCTCACTCGCCGAGGGTCGCTCACCATCGGCGCCCCTACGTCACCCGCTAACACGGCTTGGAAAGTAATACGATTACTTTGAGAAGCAAATTCAACGGATGCATTCTACGCCTCCGCCCACATCCTCCGCAGGGCATCAACCACGGACCTGGGTCATATTTGTGTCGTGGAACCCTCCACCGCCCGACACGGCCAAGCAAATTATATGTTGACGTTTAACGACTTGGCCAGTTACAGCTCACTGAGCGGTGAGTCCGAGAACAATTCTTCCTACGGCCAAATTTAGCAAAATAGATACGCGGCGTTTCGATGAAACTGCGCCAAGCAGCTTCAGGTCAAAAGACGTGGATCCTGGGTCGTTATTCTGACTCTCCGGCTCTTGTCCTGATGATGTTTGACGCAGTTTCAAGCGAAACATCGCGAATCTCATTGCTACACTTGGTTCAGAAAGAAGACACGAGGAGGGAGGGAGGGAGGAGTGGAGGGAGTGGGTGGAGGAGGAGAAGTGGGGGGAGGAGGAGAAGGAGGAACAGGAGAAGATGGAGGAGAGCGGGAGGACTGGAGTGCGCACACAGACGACGACCTAGGACAGGCCCGCAGAACAGCAGCAGGAAGCGCAGACCCGCGACCTCCACGACGAAGCAAAATAAGAACACGGCGGCGGCACCTCGAGTCCTGGCGGGAAGGGAAAGCCGCCGTCCGTCTCCGCCGCCGCCGCTGCCCCCTCTCCAGCTCCGGCCCTTGGTTTACGCAGCACCGGGGAGCGCAGCGGCGGCGTTCCCTTGTACGTCGCCTTGATGCGCCGCACCACGCCGGTCCTCGCTGCGGCGCCGCCGGCGACACCGCCGCCACCGCCGCCGCGGTCGTGCCGGCTCACGAACCGCACCCCGAGCGCGTCCTCCACGGCGGTGGCCGCGGTGTCGTCCAGCAGCGCGCGCAGCCGCGGGTCGGGGCCCGTGGCGAGGGCGGCGGCGTCGCGGTGGAAGGCCACGTCGTGCACGGCGCACGGCGCGCCGCGCCCGTCCACGTCGCGCCGCGCCGGCGGCAGCACCGCGTGCGGCAGCCGCCACATGACGCCGCCGGGCCGGGCCGGCGAGTGCTCCGCGGAGGGCGGCTCCAGCCCAGTGTCCACCCAGCACACGTTGATGAAGGCCTTGGTGGTGGTGGCGGCGGTGCCGGTGGCAGTGCCAGTGCCACCTCTCTCGCCACCGTGGCTCCCTCCTGATGCTGCTGCACCATCTCCTGTGAAAGACAGCAAGAGCACAGCACAATCACGAACTACGAGTGAGCTCCCGGTTTGAGCGAAGATTTCAGCCGCACGTCGCTCGCACTTTGCTGATGTTGAGTTCCCCGTGAGGAGTTTCCAGTCACCTCCACCGCCGGTGAGGAAGAGGAGCTGTGCTGGTCAGAATCTGATCGATACATTGATCACGCGTGTACATAATCATAATATTTGTGTGACCGTAACGACGTCGTCGGGCGGTGGAGGGTGAACGACACAAGGATGTTGCCACGAAGCTCGTACCAACACGGGGCCTGACCCAAAAACAACCGCATCTCAAGACCACATTTATTTAACTTAGTTAATAGCGGTAGTCATGGAGTCACTATGTGAGTCTGTGAGGCTATGGGTCTCTATCCGAGTATGTGTCTCTATGCAAGCAGATATATTACGTGTGTAACTATGGGTTGCTATGTGAGTACTGTACAGTATTGGAATCTCTGTGAATCTTTGAGTCTTGGGTCTCTCTGTGGATTATATATGGATCTCTGTGTGAGTCTATGTGTCTCGGTGTCAGTCAATCGGTCCCGATGTGAGTCTATGGGTCTCAGTGAGTTTATGGGTCTCGGTGTATGGGTCTCTCTGTAAGCATGGGTCTTTCTGTGAGTCAATTGGTCTCGGTGTGAGTCTATAGGTCTCTGCGAGTCTATGGGTCTCGGTGTGAGTCTATAGGTCTCTGCGAGTCTATGGGTCTCGGTGTGAGTCTATAGGTCTCTGCGAGTCTATGAGTCACGGTGTGAGTTTATACGTCCCGGGGAGTCTATGGGTCTCGGTGTGAGTCTATAGGTCCCGGGGAGTCTATGGGTCTCTGTGTGAGTCTATGGGTCTCTGTGTGAGTCTATGGGTCTCTGTGTGAGTCTGTGGGTCTCGGTGTGAGTATGAGTCTCGGTGTGAGTTTATACGTCTCGGTGTGAGTACCCGGGTGCGTGTGGGGGGGGCCGGTGGGTTGCGGGGGGCACCTCGTATGAAGCCCTTGAGGACGTAGCCTGGGGAGATGTGCAGGAAGGTGACGTCCATCCCCCTCTCCCTCTCCAGCTCGGCCATCTCCTGCTCGTAGCTACAGAGACAACGCACGCAGCCCACAATGTCACACACCACGAGTACACACCACGAGTACACACCACATGCACACACCGTGAGAGTACACACCGTGAGAGTACACACCACATGTACTCACCACGTGTACACACCGTGAGTGAGTACACACCGTGAGTGAGTACTCACCGTGAGTGAGTACACACCGTGAGTGAGTACACACCGCGAGTGAGTACACACCGCGAGTGAGTACACACCGTGAGTGAGTACACACCGTGAGTGAGTACTCACCGTGAGTGAGTACACACCGTGAGTGAGTACACACCGTGAGTGAGTACACACCGTGAGTACTCACCGTGAGTACACACCGTGAGTGAGTACTCACCGTGAGTGAGTACACACCGTGAGTGAGTACACACCGTGAGTACTCACCGTGAGTGAGTACACACCGTGAGTGAGTACACACCGTGAGTACACACCGTGAGTGAGTACACACCGCGAGTACTCACCGCGAGTGAGTACACACCGTCAGTACTCACCGCGAGTGAGTACACACCACGTGTACACACCGCGAGTGAGTACTCACCGTGTGTGAGTACACACCGTGAGTGAGTACTCACCGTGGTGTGAGTACACACCGTGAGTGAGTACACACCGTCAGTGAGTACACACCGCGTGTACACAACCGCGAGTGAGTACACACCGCGAGTGAGTACACACCGTGAGTGAGTACACACCGTCAGTGAGTACACACCGCGTGTACACACCGCGAGTGAGTACACACCGCGAGTGTGTACACACCGTGAGTGAGTACACACCACATGCACACACCGTGAGTGAGTACACACCGTGAGTGAGTACACACCGTGAGTACACACCGTGAGTGAGTACACACCGCGAGTGAGTACACACCGTGAGTACTCACCGCGAGTGAGTACACACCACGTGTACACACCGCGAGTGAGTACTCACCGTGTGTGAGTACACACCGTGAGTGAGTACACACCGTCAGTGAGTACACACCGCGTGTACACACCGCAAGTGAGTACACACCGCGAGTGTGTACACACCGTGAGTGAGTACACACCACATGCACACACCGTGAGTGAGTACACACCGTGAGTGAGTACACACAGTGAGTACTCAACACATGTACACACCGTGAGTTAGTACACACCGGTCCCGCGCGTGCTTGTTGGAGGCTGATAATGATGATGATGTTGGATATGTCAACTATGATGATGGTGACGATGTGGATGACGATGATAAACACGTCGATGATGTGGATGTTCATGATAATAATGTCGATGACGGTGATGATGTGAATGATGACGGTGATGATGATGTTGACGATGATGAGGAGGATGATGTTGGTACTGACCGTGCCCGCGTGGCCGGCTCCTGCAGCTCCCTGGCGTGCTCCATGAGGAGGTCGCGGAACTCGGGGTCCCGCATGGCGCGGCCGAGTCGCGCCGCCTCCTCCCGCGTCACCCCCAGCGCCTCCACGCGGCCCCACGGCCCCGCCGCGTCCCCCATGACCCTCGGCTCTCGCCCCCAGGGGGTCCCAGAGTTCTCGCTTGGTCCCCTGAGACTACCCCGGGCTCTACAAGGGTCACCTGATCCTGTCTGAGGGATCGAAGGGGATGCCTCTTCGGGGTATATGGGGGGGGGTTCCTTAGTTTCCCTGATCCCACCTTGGCAGTTCTATCGGTCTGTGGGGGTCTCTCCTGGTCCCTGTCCACGTGTTGGGGGTCTGTGGGGGTCTCTGGGGGGTCTCTGGGGGTCCCGTCTCGTGGCCTCTCCACCACCCCAGGCCGCGCGTCCCGTTGCCCCGGTAACCGCAGGCGTCGCGACGCGTCACCAGGTGGCGGTGCAGAGCGGGTCCCCCTCGCCCCCCCCACCCCCCTCGCCCCCCGCCCCCCATCCCCCTCGCCCCCCCCATCCCCCCCCCCATGCCCCCCCGCCCCCCCATCCCCCCCCGCCCCTACATCCCCCCCGCCCCCATCCCCCCCATCCCCCTCGCCCCCCCCATCCCCCCCGCCCCCCATTCCCCCCCATGCCCCCCATCCCCCCCGCCCCCCCCATCCCCCCCCGCCCCCCCATCCCCCCGCCCCCATCCCCCCCATCCCCCTCGCCCCCCCCCATTCGCCCCCCCCCATCCCCCCGCCCCCCCCATCCCCGCCCGCCCCCCCATCCCCCCCATGCCCCCCATCCCCCCCGCCCCCCCATCCCCCCCCGCCCCCCCATCCCCCCCGCCCCCCCCATCCCCCCCGCCCCCCCATCCCCCCCATCCCCCCCGCCCCCCCCATCCCCCCCGCCCCCCCATCCCCCCCGCCCCCCCATCCACCTAGCCCCCCCCATCCCCCTCGCCCCCCCCATCCCCCCCCAATCCCCCTCGCCCCCCCAGCCCTCTCGCCCCCCCCATGCCCCCCCCCCTCGCCCCCCCATCCCCCCCCTATCCCCCCCCCCATCCACCCCCTATCCCCCTCGCCCCCCCTATGCCCCCCCATCCCCCCCCCACCCCTGTGCCCCCCCCCCCAGGGTTCCGTTGCGCTGCTGGCGGCTGCGCGCGCCGGATTCGGTGCAACCCGGAAGTGGCGCTGCCGCCGCTGGCGCCGCGCTAAGATGGCGGACGCGATGGCGCCCAAGCGCAAGTACTGCGTGAACTGCCTGGCGGACGCGACCGCGGTGCGCGTTCGCTGCGCCGACTGCCCCGACATCGAGCTCTGCCTCGAGTGCTTCGCGTCCGGGGCCGAGCTGGGCACGCACCGCCGCGGTCACGCCTTCAGGCTGGAGGACGCGGGCACCTTCCCGCTTTTTGACGGTGAGGCCTGCTCGCACCGCGTCTCCCCCCCTACCCCCCCGTCTTGCCTGAGCGAGTCGGCCGCCTGTTTGGCGAGGGGACCCGGCCCGGGCTCGGGGCGCGGGAGGGTGAGGAGAGTCGCCCAGTGCTGCCAACTTCTTAAAAGCGGCGAGTGGCCGAAAGAACCAAAACAAGTCGCTAGGTGTCGCTGAAGACGTTTCTGATGTCAAAATGTCAGACTTGGATATCGTCACTTAAGCATAGTTCAGTCCTGTACGCTGGTACAGGAGATGCCAATAAATAATCCTGTCACTGGACATTCACGAGGTAATTATAAGTTACCTATGCAGGTCTCAGAATAAAATAATTGCGACCCGGGGTGTTGATGATTGCTGCTACGTTGCACACAGTAGACTCGTACAATGATTTTTGGCGTGTATTTGGAATCACATGATGAGTCTGTGTGCGATGTTGTGTTGAGCGGGGCCCCAAAGTTTACATGGAGCGGCATTTACATTTTTTAGCAGGTAAGGCCCACTGAGCTATATACAGTAGATATTTTCAGAAGCTATCTGGCCACAAATGATAGCCCAATGAAGTGGCTTATCCAGTGGAAATGCATAGCAGCCAAATACTCTAAAGGCATGTTTCTAAATGTTGACGGAAATAAACCGGAGGACCCGAATAAAAATCCACGCGACCACGTGGAGAACATGCACACTCCGAATATACAGCAGGTTTGAGGGTCGGGATCGAACCCACGACATCTTTTACACCAGGCGAGATGGTTAACGTCTCACCACCTCGGCGCCCTTGTTTGAATTACTCACTGGGATTACACACAGCAGTAATCACAATTCGGCACCACCCTCCTGAAATAGTCTTGGGACTCGGTGAGGTCTTCCAGGGTAAACAAGCACAAAATAAAACACCAGCCTTACTGCTGATGAGACCAATGTCTAAGCCAATAGGCTGGTGGATTGAAACATTTGTATTTACACGTGGAGACGATTGGGGTTTTGCGTATATTTTCTTAAACCTGGTTTCCTGTCAAGACACAATGTTATGTTATTGAACAGTGAACTGATGTAGGGATCCATAACACACACACGTGGAAACGCTCCTAAATCTTGTGTCCTCTCGTCCGATAAAAGTCGCGAGATTGTTTTCCTCTGACAGCCATTTGTCACTGCATCCTCAGCTATGGTCTACCCACTGCTGGATCAAGGCCTCTCCAATCCGCCGCCGCCTCTCACGATCTCCTATTGCACCCCCTCCTCCCTCCCTCCATGTGCTTAGACCCCGGTGCCCCAGGCCCCCGCGCCCCACCCTGGTCGTGCCTCGAGGAGCAGCAGCTGCTGGAGGCCGTGGAGCAGCACGGGCTGGGCAACTGGGCCGACGTGGGGGCCCACGTCAACGCCGCCTGGTGCTCCGCGATGGGGGGCCCCACCGGCACGGGCGGGGGAGGGGGCCCCGGGCCCGGCGTGGGCGGCGGAGGAGGCAGCGGGGGAGGAGGGACCCCGGCGGGGGCCGCGTCGGGCGGAGGGCCCGGCGCCCGCTCGCCCGCGGACGTGGCGCGCCACTTCATGGCGGCCTACGTGTACGGCAGCGTGGGGAGGGCTTGCGTGCCGGAGGTCATCCCCAACCGTGTGACCGACCACACTGCGGTGGGTGGAGCCGCGGCGGCACCGCCTCACGCAGGGACCCATAGACTCACACAGAGATCCACACACTCGCACAGAGACCCATAGACTCACACAGAGATCCATAGACTCACACAGGGACCCATAGACTCACACAGAGATCCACACACTCGCACAGAGACCCATAGACTCACACAGAGACCCATAGACTCACACAGGGACCCATAGACTCACACAGAGATCCACACACTCGCACAGAGACCCATAGACTCACACAGAGATCCATAGACTCACACAGAGATCCATAGACTCACACAGAGATCCATAGACTCACACAGAGATCCATAGACTCACACAGAGATCCATAGACTCACACAGAGATCCATAGACTCACACAGAGATCCATAGACTCACACAGAGACCCATAGACTCACACAGAGATCCATAGACTCACACAGAGACCCATAGACTCACACAGAGATCCATAGACTCACACAGAGACCATAGACTCACACAGAGATCCATAGACTCACACAGAGATCCATAGACTCACACAGAGATCCATAGACTCACACAGAGATCCATAGACTCACACAGAGATCCATAGACTCACACAGAGATCCATAGACTCACACAGAGATCCATAGACTCACACAGAGATCCATAGACTCACACAGAGATCCATAGACTCACACAGAGATCCATAGACTCACACAGAGATCCATAGACTCACACAGAGATCCATAGACTCACACAGAGACCCATAGACTCACACAGAGACCCATAGACTCACACAGAGATCCCATAGACTCACACAGAGATCCATAGACTCCGCACAGAGATCCATAGACTCACACAGAGACCCATAGACTCACACAGAGACCCATAGACTCACACAGAGACCCATAGACTCACACAGAGATCCATAGACTCACACAGAGACCTAGACTCACACAGAGACCATAGACTCACACAGGACCCATAGACTCACAAGAGAATCCATAGACTCACACAGAGATCCATAGACTCACACAGAGACCCATAGACTCACACAGAGACCCATAGACTCACACAGAGACCACTAGACTCACACAGAGACCCATAGACTCACACAGAGTACCCACAGAGCTCAGCACATGAGAACCCATAGACTCACACAGAGATCCATAGCCTACACAGAGATCCATAGACTCACACAGAGACCCATAGACTCACACAGAGACCCATAGACTCCAACGACAGAGATCCATAGACTCACACAGAGACCATAGACTCACACAGAGACCCATAGACCACCCAGAGACCCATAGACTCACACAGAGACCCATAGACTCACACAGAGATCCCCATAGACTCCACAGAGACCCATAGACTCACACAGAGATCCCATAGACTCACACAGAGATCCATAGACTCACACAGAGACCCCCATAGACTCACACAGAGACCATAGACTCACACAGAGACCCATAGACTCACACAGAGACCCATAGACTCACACAGAGACCCATAGACTCACACAGAGACCCATAGACTCACACAGAGATCCACACACTCGCACAGAGACCCATAGACTCACACAGAGATCCACACACTCGCACAGAGACCCATAGACTCACACAGAGACCCATAGACTCACACAGAGAACCATAGACTCACACAGAGATCCATAGACTCACACAGAGACCCATCGACTCACCAGAGACATAGACTCACATCAAGACCCTAGACTCAAACAGAGATCCATAGACTCACACAGAGACCCATAGACTCACACAGAGATCCATAGACTCACACAGAGACCCATAGACTCACACAGAGATCCATAGACTCGCACAGAGACCCATAGACTCGCACAGAGACCCATAGACTCACACAGAGACCCATAGACTCACACAGAGATCCCATAGACTCACACAGGGACCCATAGACTCGCACAGAGACCCATAGACTCACAACAGGACCATAGACTCACCACAGGGAGACCCATAGACCTCGCACAGAGACCCATAGACTCACCCAGAGACCCATAGACTCACACAGAGACCCATAGAACTCACCAGAGACCCATAGACTCACACAGAGACCCTAACGCACAGAGACCCATAGACTCACACAGAGACCATAGACTCAGCACAGAGACCCATAGACTCGCACAGAGACCCATAGACTCACACAGAGACCCATAGACTCACACAGAGACCCATAGACTCACACAGAGACCCATTAGACTCACACAGAGGACCCATAGACTCACACAGAGACCCATAGACTCACACAGAGACCCATAGACTCACACAGAGACCCATAGAACTCACACAGAGACCCATAGACTCACACAGTGACCCATAGACTCACACAGGGACCCATAACTCACACAGAGACCCATAGACTCATCACAGGGACCCATAGACCACACAGGGACCCATAGACTCACACAGAGACCCATAGACTCACACAGAGACCCATAGACTCACACAGAGACCCATAGACTCACACAGGGACCATAGACTCACACAAGGACCCATTGACTCACACAGAGACCCATAGACCTCACACAGAGACCCATAGACTCACACAGAGACCCATAGACTCACACAGAGACCCATAGACTCACACAGAGACCCATAGACTCACACAGGGACCCATAGACTCACACAGAGACCCATAGACTCACACAGAGACCCATAGACTCACACAGGGACCCATAGACTCACACAGAGACCCATAGACTCACACAGGGACCCATAGACTCACACAGAGATCCACACACTCGCACAGAGATCCACACACTCGCACAGAGACCCATAGACTCACACAGAGATCCATAGACTCACACAGGGACCCATAGACTCACACAGAGACCCATATACTCACACAGAGACCCATAGACTCACACAGAGATCCATAGACTCACACAGGGACCCATAGACTCACACAGAGACCCACAGACTCACACAGAGATCCACACACTCGCACAGAGATCCACACACTCGCACAGAGATCCACACACTCGCACAGAGATCCACACACTCGCACAGAGACCCATAGACTCGCACAGGTACTCATAGACTCACACAGGGACCCTTAGACTCACACAGGGACCGACAGACACAGACAGGTACTCATAGACTCACACAGAGACCCATAGACTCACACAGGGACCCATAGACTCACACAGAGACCCATAGACTCACACAGAGATCCACACACTCGCACAGAGATCCACACACTCGCACAGAGATCCACACACTCGCACAGAGATCCACACACTCGCACAGAGACCCATAGACTCGCACAGGTACTCATAGACTCACACAGGGACCCTTAGACTCACACAGGGACCGACAGACACAGACAGGTACTCATAGACTCACACAGAGACCCATAGACTCACACAGGGACCCATAGACTCACACAGAGACCCATAGACTCACACAGAGATCCACACACTCGCACAGAGATCCACACACTCGCACAGAGACCCATAGACTCACACAGGGACCCATAGACTCGCACAGAGACCCATAGACTCACACAGGGACCCTTAGACTCACACAGGGACCGACAGACACAGACAGGTACTCATAGACTCACACAGAGACCCATAGACTCACACAGGGACCCATAGACTCACACAGGGACCCATAGACTCACACAGAGACCCATAGACTCACACAGAGACCCATAGACTCACACAGAGACCCATAGACTCACACAGAGACCCATAGACTCACACAGAGACCCATAGACTCACACAGAGACCCAAAGACTCACACAGAGACCCATAGACTCACACAGAGACCCATAGACTCACACAGAGACCCATAGACTCACACAGAGACCCATAGACTCACACAGAGACCCATAGATTCACACAGAGATCCATAGACTCACACAGAGACCCATAGACTCACACAGAGACCCATAGACTCACACAGAGACCCATAGACTCACACAGAGACCCATAGATTCACTCAGGGACCGACAGACACACACAGGTACCCATAGACTCACACAGAGACACATAGACTCACACAGGGACCGACAGACACACACAGGGACCCATCGACTCACACAGGGACCGACAGACACACACAGGGACCCATAGACACACACAGGTACAACGACAATGACGACGATGTCTCCTTGTGCGTGTCCCCGCAGCCTGAGCCCCCCGTGGACCGTGGGGGCGGTGGCTCAAGCTCCCCTCCGCCGCCGCCGGTGCCCCCATCTCCGCGGAGGAGCAGCAGACGCTGGGGTACATGCCGCTGCGCGACGACTTTGAGATGGAGTTCCTCCCGCACGCCGAGACGCCCGTGTCGGAGCTGCCCTCCTTTGAGCCCGACGAGGTGGCGCTCGTCACGGAGGCGGCCCGCTCCTCCTCATCCTCGTCGTCAGCAGCAGCCCTCGATCACCACGACGGCGCACAGCTGCTGGAGCTGGAGCTGAAGATGGCGGTGGTGTGTGCCTACGTCCGCGCGCTGCACCAGCGCGAGCTGCGCAAGGCGGCGGCGCGCGAGTACGGCCTGGTGCAGGCCTTCTTCGGGCGGCCGTGCGCGCTGCAGGCCGCCTACGCCGCCACCACCGCCCAGGGCGCCGGCGCCAGCCCTCCCACGGCGGCCTCGGGCGGCGGGACCCAAGCGGCGTCGGCGTCTCAGGAGCCGCCAGCCAAGCGCAAGATGGCCAAGGAGGAGAAGGAGCTGCTGCACAAGCTGCGGCCGCTGTGCCGCCTCGTGCCGGCGCGGGAGTTTGTGGAGCTGCTGGAGGGCGCACGGCGCGAGCGTTGCCTGCGGGAGCGCGTGCGCGAGCTGCAGCGTGCGCGTGCCCGCAGCGGGGTGCGCCGACTCGACGACTTTGCGGCGCTGCGCCGGAACAAGCGCCGCTTCGGACAGGCGCAGCAGCAGCAGCAGGGCGCCGGGTCGGGCACCAGCGGGCACAATGGGCGCGAGCGAGCGGACGCAGCGGCGGCCGACGCGGAGGCGGAGGATGCTTGTGGTTACGCCCGAGCTCTGTCGGAACGCGAGTCGGCGCTGTGCTCCTCTATGAACCTGTCGCCGGCGCGGTATGTCACCGCCAAGACCATCGCTGTGCTGCAGAGCTCCACGCACAGGCACGCGCGCAGGCTGCAGCAGCAGCAGCAGCAGCAGGCGCAGCAGCAGGTGCTGGGTCAGCAGCAGCAGCAGCAGCAGGGCAAGGGCCGCTCACAGGGAGCAGTGCCACTGGGACAAGGAGCGTTGCCGATGCTGCTGGAGAAAGCCGTGAGGAAGAAACTCATGGGGTTCCTCGGCCGCAGCGGCTGGGTCGGAGGGGCGGGGGGCAGGGAGGTGCTGTAAGTCGGGCACGAGGGTTTGGGGGGGGCGGCGTGAGAAGAGGGTGCACACGACCCCCTCGCTCGCGAGGGCGTGAGATGGACGCATTTTAAACAATTGTCCCAAACTCCTTGCCCCCCCCCCCTCTACCCAGTGTCCCCCCGCATCTCCGCATCCCCCGTGCCTCAACGTCTCAGCCGTGGTGGTCGTCGCGTTCAGGCCACTCAAGGCCTCCTCATCCTGCCGAGTTCTGGTCAACGCGAGTCTCCAAATCTTCCCGCTGGAGACCTCCCCGAGACCCAGAGCGATCTACCGAGCGCCGCAGAGAGACATCTGCTCTCGCGCGAGACACGTGTGAGAGGAGACCGATCCGTCATTCATAATTCTTGCTTCTCAGTAACTGACCATGGAGGTCACTGTTTACTACCGTCGCTACCCATGGATTTCCCCTCACGTTCACGTTGCAAATCACAAATTACTCTAAAGCGTGTTATCTACTTACAAATTTGTAATCGTTAACTATGTTACACACGTCCCATCATCCCTCCCTGGGGGGGGGGGGGGCAAAAAAATGAGCACCGCTTTACGTGCATCATAGGAATGTAGAATTTCCGCATATCGTCCGTTTTGCAAAATTGGCCTTGCGTGATGGCGAGTATCATTTCGCTCGTTAACGTTTTGTTGAAATGGTTAATTTCCTGCCAGAATATTTATTTAAATATCGAACTCTGTACATAGATACCTGTGACCCTGAAACAACGACTCCCGTTCACAGTCAGAGACAGCTTGACGATTATCACAAGAGGTCAAAGTTTTATTTTATTTTTTTACCCGTAACCAAATCTCGACTACTTAGTCACGAACAACCCTATTGTGGCCTTAAATATATATCGTAGGTGACGTTCCCGGGAAACGACACTTGATCACAGCACACCGATAAGAGAGGCGAGAGAGAGAGCTGGGAGCCTGCACTACGTCCACTACGGGGCCTTGACGCACGTGACCGTCCCCTACTGGTGACCGGTTTTGATTGGCAACGTCCAGGTCACCTTCCCGGCCACCCTCTCATACTCTCTCCGCCACCGACACGGCTATTTGATTGTGCATCGCTTGTGACCTTCGCTCGATTGTTTTTAAAGCAGGTGGGAGAGTTGGCTCTGTGTTATTACCGTGTGCGCAAGTACACGAGACAAAGATCCCCCACGTAGCCCACACAGGCTTCTGGGGCAAGTGCTCTTAGCGAGGAGCACTGGGCAAAGGCATGGCGGTGCGGCACACACGAGGAGTGTGGGTGGTGTGACCAGCACCATGCCCGGGTCTGCTACGTTTGTCTCCTCCGAAATGTTTACTACACACCACACTCGGGTACTACTTTCAAGGCTGAGTCGACCTCGGGGGTAGATTGGTTCTGATGTCACCGGGTATCGAACTCTCGCAAACCTTGATTGGAGTGCGGTGCGCTAATGACTGCGCCGTTCCCCACTGCTTATACAAAGATCGACACACGTGCACACTTAGACGCAGAGAAATAACATGTTATGTAAAATAAGAGGTTTTTGTACAGCTAATAAGAATAAAGGAATGATTTAGATGTTTCAGCAGACTCTTCTTCTGGTTAGATATTGTTGAGTGTTCAATGTCAACACACGGACACAATATTCAACTGCAATTCTCCACTGGCGGCAATTCCACCACAGCGCTTGTGCCAGGCTAGTTGCACCATCATCTGTACCCACGCATTAACGCATGCACAAGACATCTACACATATACAAACCTTAACCCAACACTGAGTAGCGGGTGTTGCAAGGCCTGGCTGAAGATTTATTAGAAAATTGTATCACAAATTGAGTGGGCTCAAAGGGGCCCAAACATCACGCTGTCAGGAACAAACAGCACTCTCACGAGTTGTAACACGTTTCTTGAACAGAGCATGGTTATAAGAGTTTGGGAAACAGGATGATTGCGAGAGGAATTCCCAAAGTGGAGCAGCTCGAGGAAAACGCAGACGAACGTGAACTGCAGTGTGGTGCGTGTGTGCGAGAGTGGATCAGAGCGTGGGTCAAATGAGGTATCCGGCATAGAATATGAACCGTGTCACGAGGCAAACAAAGGTGGCCGGATATGGTGTTGGACACCCATAGCCCCCCACCCCCCCCCTCATGTTGGCCTTCATAGGTGCTCGCTAACAGCACTTGCCCCAAAAGGCTGCTCAGGCCATTGCTTCCAGATGACGCTTCTTGAGCAGCAGCAACCGTGGCTCCAGCGAGGCCGGGGCCGGGCTCCCCGCAGCTCAAGGCGGCTCGCCGAGCCGTGAGTGAAGTGATCGTACGCACCGCAGACACGGAGACGCTGCAGCAGCAACGCTTCCCCCGGACATGATGGGGCAGCTGCGAGTGGCTGGGCAGTCACGCCGCCGTGAGATTCCCGAATATGAAAATATAGATATCCCCCCACCCCCCACCACCACTACTAACAAACATTAACCGCTCCCCCCCCCACGACCGTAACAAACATTACCGTTCACCCGACACACTCTACCCTCACAAACATTCCGTGCCGTAAACCAAAACTGCATTATGAACCCCAATATCGGCTGGGAACACCAGCAGGCGTTAAGCCGTGGCTGATGAGGCTGCAGCCGACGATGTTGCCAAGGTGCGGGAGAGCTCCACCGACCGCCACAGCGCGCGGATGTTCCCCTCGCCGAATCCGCGGTTTCCGTGGCGACTGATGAGCTCCAGAAAGCACGAGTCCGGCCCAAAGAGTGGCAGACAGAATACCTGCAGCAGATACCTGTGCCCGGAGACACAGCACGGGGAGACGGGGTCAAGGTTGATCATCATCAGCAGCATCATCAGCAGCATCATCAGCAGCATCATCAGCAGCAGCATCATCAGCAGCAGCAGCATCAGCAGCAGCATCATCAGCAGCAGCATCATCAGCAGCAGCATCATCATCATCATCGTCATCACTACCCCCACCACCACCCCGTACTCACTGGGAGGACAGTGTGGTGGCGGTGTGGTTGTTGTCGTTGTAGGGCTCAGAGGAGTCGATGAGAATGCCGTGAGATTTCAGTGGATCCATGTCCAGGCCCGAGAAGTCCACTCCACTCAGCTGCTCTCTCACACAAACACAAAGACAAAGGTCCCCCGTATAGCCTGAACAGACTCTTTGGGGAAAGTTCTGTTAGCGAGCGCTTTGAAGGGGGGCAACACGGCACATGAGCAGGTGGTATGGGCAGAACCAGGCCTGGCCGCCTTTGTCTCCCCAGTGCCGATGTTTATTTCACAGCACCAGGTGCTCATTTCAGGCACAGTCGTCCTATGGTGGCCGTGAACAGGAATAGAATTTGTGTCCCTAGATTTATAGCACAGTGGGCTCACCACCGCGCCACCTCGTGTGTGTGGAAATATAGCTCGCACAATCCAGCCTGGTTAAACCCAGGATGAATCGTAGGCAAGCCAGCCTGAATGTTTCTAACCAGCGAAGATGTTCCATAAGGGGGGTCCCAACGTTTCACAAGCATAGAGGAGGGCCATGGCTGTGGCCGAGAAAACCCGAAGCTTACTGTGGAGCGACAGACCAGGTAGCTTACACACAGCGTTATGCAGCAGATAAAAAGATAGTGCCGCTCGACCGATTCGGAGTGAGACCTCTGCTGTCAAACCGGAGCTAGTCATAAGCGCACTGCTCAGGTATGGAAACTTTTCAACTCTTCACAACTACCCCATTACCAATAGGGAGTTGAGGGGGTGGAGTGTTTGACGATGCAAAATACCCTGGCAGGTGCTTCACACACTCCAGGTCAAGCAGCAGGACCTCAAACTCCTCTTCTGAGTGAGCAGCAAACACCAGATCATCAGCATACATAACATGGTTGACCAATAGGTAGCCATCCCTTGACCGCACCCGGGCATCGGTCAGCCTCCCATTATATCTGTACCAGATGGAGATTCCTCCGGTACAGCCATGGAAGGCTTCTTGAACTCCGTGCTCGAAAAATGTTAAGTAATGTAGGCACCAGAAAAAAAATCTCTTCTTGCACCCCAAGATAAACAGGGAATGGCTTAGACTCTCGGCCACGTGCCTGGGCCTGGCCACCATCATGAAGGTCATTAATGATTATGAGCCGAGAGTCAGGGGCTCCGAAAGCACGAAGAACAACCCAGAGCACAGGCCTATTGGTGGTTGGCATATTCTTTGGTCTTTTGGTATAGTCACGAATATTAATTCCTGCAGTCACGAAAGCTTTAAGTCAAGATTTGGTGCCATAGGACTTGACCAGGTCAATAAAGCAGAGATGAAAGTCCTTTTGCAATTGCTTCCATCTGAGCTGTCGCAGACGGACAGAGAATATGGCATCTGTGCAGGACTGCCCTGGGCGAAATCACATTGGGCTCCGCAAGCCTCTCCTCAGCGTGCCTGGCAAAGCGGTGTTGAATAATCATTTCCAAGACCTGTCCCAGCACGCTAATGAAGGAGATGCCCCTGTAGTTCTGACAGTCTGTGCACTCCCCATTCTTAAAGAGGGGGACCACCAGGGAGCCCTTCTAATCCTGCATAACCCATCCAGTGGTCCAGACTGTTATGATGATGTCATATAGGGCAATCTGCATACAAATGCCACCCTCCCTCAGCAGTTTGCTTGGGAGATCATCTCTGCCTGGCACTTGTCCTGGTCTCAGACTCTGGATCGCCGACTGTAATTCAACAGATGGCACTTAGGCCAGCCACTCACAGGGAGTGACTTTCTTCCAATATTTGAGGCACGACAGCCTCAGCAGGATCATCCCCACTGTACCCCATGATGTTTTCTGGACTGAGGCATTTCCCCTCCCCCAAGACGTCACAGAAATGCTCACCAAACCTGAAAACCTGTTCCTGGGGGTCAGAGATCAGATCACCTTTCTTTCCCCTAAGGACGGTGATACTTTTTTGATGGCATTTAAAGAGTGATTTATGACCACGGGCTACTGAGGCAGATTCTATCTCCGCAGCAACCCATGACCATCACTCATATTTGCAGCGCCACACGGCTCTCCAAACCTCCGAGCGAAAGCTGCAGTCAGCCTCATTTTCCGACATGGGAGTGGGCCTGTTGCTTTTCTCAGCCAGCCCGAATAACTCCTTCATCAGCCAGGGTTTCGCAGGAGGTTTGGACCACGTACCCAGAGGAGCCATTGCAGCTGCATGAGCCACAGTCCTAAACACCCCCCTTGGCATGTTAAGCTTTTGTTCGGCCGCATAGAGGGTGCTAGCTGCATGATGGACACCCACCACCGGAGTGGAAGAATAGCAGGCACATCTTACAGATGACAAGTCGATGGTCATTGGGTAGATCAGCTCCACGGTAAGTCCTGGTGTCAAATACATGGGCCTGCATCATATAGTCCAGCAGATGTTCTTGCTTGGACCTGGCATGCATCCATAGTCTTTTTGTGGATGCACCGATGCCGGAACAGCGTGTTGCTAACTACAAGCCCATGGAATGCATAGAAGTCTAGCAGCTTCCTACTGTTGTTACTGAGATAATCTGGCCCATTCCTTCCAATCACTAGATGTGAACCATTTGGGGATAATATCTAATTGCGATTTTTTTTGACAGATATTGCAATTTGATTTGCGATCAATTTTTTTAAGTCAAGCTTCAGTTCAATATTCACTGTGTAATAGATTTTAAATATGTGATGGAACATTACCACATGATACCATCAAAATATGAACTGCTCTATATATTCTAATGCAAGGATGAGAACTGAAAAAATATTAATTGCTTCTAACATGTATTTATTTAAATGTTTTAATTGAAATAGAACAATCAAAATAGAACAATTGTTAAGTTAAATAAATAAAGTTAAAATAATAAAGAAAGAAAACAACTCCAATAAGAAAGTAACGGGACTTTTCAAATCGCAAAAAAATCGCAGCCTTTGCGATTTGCTAATCGCATTGTTTCAATTTGCGATTTCGATTTGAAATCGATTAATCGTTCAGCCCTCCCAATCACTCCAGCCCAGGTGCAAGTGTCATCACCTACTCAGGCATTAAAGTCACCCAACAGGATGACTATCCCGAGGGGCCATAGAAGGCATCTCACTCATCGGCGATGCCTGCATACCTCCGCTGATGTTCATCTTCGGAGGGGGTGTAAGCAACCACCACCATTCCTTATCTCCCCCATTGATCAGGAGGTCAGCCCACAGCAGCCTGGGGCTTACAGCTCCCCACGCCTCACCGCCACGCTCCCATGCCCCCTGCATTATTTTGTTCAGAAAAAGAGCCACTCCCTGTTGTTTGGCTGTCTCCTGTTCCATGTAGAAGGCTATGCTCCCCTCATGGTAACTGGAGCCAGAACCAGTCCACTGGACATCCCCACATATATATATACAGACTAACAACAAAATAAACAAATATCCAACCATATAGCCTGAACAGACTTTTGGGGCAAGTACTGTTAGCGAGCACCTATGAAGGCCGGCACGGCACACGAGGGGGTGGGCGGCCAGCACCACGCCCGACCACCTTTGTCTCCCGAGTGCCGATGTTTACACATCGCACCAGGTACTCGTT